CAAAACTTTATTTTTCGAGCTTTTGCTTTAGCAAATGTAGAAATGAGTTCCATCCGTTCAATGTCTCTAGCAATTTCATGTTCAAATGACAGAGTAGCTAGTCCAACAAGTCTTTCTTGTAGCATGGATGTTCGCAGGTATGTTTTTATGAGTTTGAGCTTCGAGAAGCTTCGCTCACCACTAGCCACAGAAGCTGGAAGTGTCAAGAGGATTCGCAGAGCTATAACAGTGTTGGGGACACTATCTGTTAGATTATTTTTCAATATAAAGTCTAGTACATCCTGTAGCGATGTACACCATGCAAGTTGTCGTGAAATGGCTTTCAGTTCACTGCTTAGATCAACTGCATCAATATCTTTGGAGTCTCCATGTTGCAAAGCTTACTTAAGATTCAAGCAATGTTCCATAACTTCATTGCTAGTTTTATTCTGCAAACTGTGAACATCATAGAAGAAACCAAACACCAAACTAATTTGTTGCATCAGAATGAATCTTTCTTGAACCGATTGTATGGCTGTGTCAAGAACAGCGAAGTAAACTTTTACTTTGAATTTGTCTTTTGGATCCTGAATAGGTTCGTTGTCGTCTCCTTTCTATGCAAATTGTTTCTTCTTTCTTCTTATACGGGTTGGCTCTGGTTCGAAAAGTGCTGGTATCTCTAAATTGACAGCAATTTCAGCTGCACTTACCACCCAGTGTTTTCTCAAACCCCGTGTCATTTCTGCGGTTTACGAGAAACTTCTTTGTTTCATCCAGATGATTGATGACGCCATTTATATCTTATTCTTTTGCCTGAAGTTGTTTACTAGCCATGTTGATCTCAAACAACACGGCACACCACATAACCAGAGAAACGACAAACTAGAAATGGCTTTTGCAATACCCCGTGCATCTGTTCGTGATGTATTACCAGATGCTCCTGTTAAATTTGTGTCATCCGCGATCTCTACCAGAGCATCGTAGATATCACTAAGCTGATAACGAAGAGGTTTCAAAGCATCAATCCGACTTTCCCATCTTGTTTCACTCAGTGGTTTAACAGTGATATTAGAAACATGTCGATTTAAAACTTCCAAACGACGAGTTGATACAGAAAAGAATACATAAACAAGTTGCACTAGATCAAAGAAGGCTGTTGCTTCAAAGCCACATTTTGCAGCATCATTAACAGCCAAATTCAAGGTATGTGCACATCAAGGAACAAACAATGCTCGGGGATTGACATCTACAATTGTTCGTTGGACACCATTGTCTTTTCCCTTCATGTTGCTGACATTGTCATATCCTTGACCGCGTACATTTTCGATAGATAAAGACATCTATCTAACTGCCAAGGGAATAGTTTCAGTCATACCAGTACCAGTTGTCTCCTTTAGAGGCACAAAACCCAAGAAATGTTCCTTTATACCTGCTGCTTCTACTGCATCTTATTTTCTGGATTTGAAATCACACCCACAAAGCGAATGATCATGGTCATCTGTTCAACATGACCAGCATCTAATGTGCAATCTAAAATTATTGAACATTACTTAGCATCACGAGCAGATGGTAGAATTTTTTGTTTGATTGCATTGGATAAAAGCTGAATAAGTTCATTCTGTATGTCTTTTCTCTCTGCCTTGGGGATTGAAATAACGACGAAAACAGCAAAAAAAATTTTATTATGGTTTACTATTTTGCTTTATTTTTAATTTATTTTTGTAAAAAAAAAATTATTGCAATTTACATATACAAGTTTAGATATCTAAATCAAATGATTTTAAATATAACGTTGTACACAAGTAAAACTAAAAATCTTACCCCCCCCCCCCTGCTTACACAGAGCTCAGCTCATGTGCCTGGGTTAAAATAGGGTTATAGGGTAACCAGGATCCTCTAAGTGAGGCTGGCGTCGGGGAAGGGCATCCAGCCGTAAAAACAAATCGATCCAAAACTCCATTGAGTTGCAAACACTGGTCAGAGTTAATGCACTCATGTGTCCAAGTATGTCCTAACCATGCCGAGCGTGGAAACAAAGGACTTTAAACGGTAAAAAAAAAGAATAAGAATCTTACCTAATGTATTAAAGTAGTCCGTCGAAGATAATCAAATTTAAATTATTTATTTTATTTTCAATATTGACGTCATTTCATTATGAAATGACGTCACCGGATGTGGCAGTATTTGCCCGTAACGTAAGTAAGTAAATTATTGATCAAATTTATGCTATGCAATTCTTTTCATTCGTTTTAATAAAACAGGAAATATTAGTGTAAAAAAACTATGCAATTTAATTCAATGTTTAAATGACGGCGTCACTCCACTAAAAAAAATTATTCAATCCATTTATTACATCTTCTTTGATGCCTGGAACAGAAACATTTCAGTATTAAATTACAAATGACAAAGTGGCAGTAAACAGAATACATTAATTTTCCTCAGAATATTCCAAGTGAGAAGCTTCATTAATTATTAATCAGTCAAACAAGTGTTTCATTTACATTTAGTTTGCATAACAAATTGAAATGCACTTGCATATATTATAAGCCATGCTGTCCTATATCATATGTGATGTTTTCAATTTAAAAAAGGCAGGGTTGGGGGGGATATCAGTTATCAGTTTCTATGATAAACTGTTTTAGGAGAGGCTATATCTGAACAATGGCACAAAACTTGGTGATCTTAAAGTTTAGACAAATATAATGTTAAAAAAATGTTGGTTTGTTTAAGTAAAGAATCCACCTCACCAAAGGCAAAACTGTTGTCAGTACTGACAGCAAAAGGTTTCCTCCTTAAAATGTAGTCAACAATCCAACTTCGAATAGTGTTGTTAAAAAAATCATCTTTATTTTCTGGGATGTTAAACCTGGATGAAAAGGGTGAAAATAGTTACATTTACAATGTGGAAACAACATATTTTACATTTATTAATATTGTGTATGTAATTCTATTTGTAAATAATTCCATTTGCAAGGAATTTTACACCCAAGTATTCAATTTGACCAAGTGAAACAGGGTATTCCTAAAAAAAACTTAAACAAAATAATAAAACATCCATTATTTACATTCAAACTGAAGACACATCATAT